CCTGTCTTTATTACCGTGCTCGGCGCCGTTGTCGATGACAAGACTCACGGAATCACTGGCACCCAAACGCGTCATATTACCCTGCACGAGTTTTATCTCGAGCGTAGCCGCGCGCGGCTGCTTTCATTCTTCCAGCAAAGAGATCCTCCTCCTTCGATGCCGGTCATCCCTCCCTCCCTCCCTCCCTCCGGCAAGCTCGAGCGTTCTCATTCGAGCCGCGGATTTTTCTCTAATAGCGAGGCAAAATATTAAAGCGTGCCAGCCAGATGCGAATATTCTCGTGAAAACCCTGCCTCCGGCCAGAACAGACATCGCTGCTTCGTTACTCGTTACTCGTGTAAGCGACTCGTTTGTTCCGCGGCCGACGCGGAATAAAGTACGCGGCGGACTGCTCTCTCGGGCTCGACTCGGGCTCTCTCTCTCTCGGGCCTCGGTAAACGCGCGCGCAGAAAAATCAACCGAGAATAACACGTATCTTCCGCGTGTCTGAAAGGTACGCCAGGATCTGGACAGACAAATCGTTCGTCGAAAACACGCACGGCACCGTTTCTTCTTTTCGCTCCGCCGCCGTTTGTCTTGGTCCGCTGAAAGCCCTGAAAGGGGAGGCCCCGGCGTTCCGCTGCGAGGAACGAGCGCGTTCCACAGCGCGGATCGATTCTCCGCAGAGATTCCTTGACTAATCGGCGCGTCGCGATTGTTTAAAACATTGCCGCGCTCGAGCAGCTCTACGAGTTACTGTTCAAGGACAGAGGAATGGACAGCCTCGTTCTTTCCGCTCGGACCCGATGTCCGATGCGAGCTCTTCGATCGACGACAATAACACGTGTCTCCGATAATTAATCGTGTCCCGTTTACTCGTCTAGCCGTTATTTCCAAGATTGATAGCTTTTCAATGAGCGACCGATGACGGCTAAAATCTTAGGGGGTTGCTAAGGTGTCCTTGACTATGTTTACACCGTGTACCTTAGGATGGCCTTTGGCTGTAGGAATGCGAAACTTTTTTCTGAAATTTCTTGGTCTTATTCCCATATAATTTATGAGATTATAATATTATAATATTATTATTATATAATTATAGTATTATACTATAATACTATAATTATATATTATACTATATTATATTATACTATAATTATATATATAATTATAGTATTATAATATTATTATTATAAGTATAGTATCAATTATAATTATATAATAGAGACAATTTTCTGAGAAATATTTGTATAAATATTTTCCTAAGCACTACTTTTTTCCAGAGATTTTTTCACAAAGAAATCGGCGAATATCAGTTCGATGTGTACTCATCTTAGAATAGTCCCCTTTCGGTACTCAGCCGAGTTCAATAATTAAACGGTGATAGTGCTGTTACACGCCAAGCAGATCATGTTCTTTTGCCTAAAGACTCGCCGTAATCGCAGAGCAACTTTGCTATTTCAACCTAGGAAAAAGCTATCTCGAAGAGGGTGAGAAACGCGAAAATCTAAAGTTGTTAAAAGCTGATTGCGAGAGCGATAAAGGCTGAATTGTAAGGCGTTAAACGAGGCTTCTAAAGAAGGTGTAATATAGCAGAGATCCCGAGTCTCGGTGGCATTGCTTCGCGCCGCGCATACGTATGTATTGTCGCGAGAAATTGGAGCACGGTCTTAGCAATGAAACTTTTGGCACTTGACGCGTCAAAACTGGAAGCAAGTGGGCGTACGCTGGGATTCGAGAGTTCCGAAGCGACACAGTGACTTACTGTCTCATGGTATTTCGCTGGCGCGAACGTTAATGAAGTTACGAAATTCGATGGTCAAGCTTGACCGATCGTGCATGACTCGACCGGTTGATTACACAAAGCGTCGACTGCGCAGCCGAAGCAATATGTAGCTCGCCGTCAAAGAATGTGGAGCCGCGTTTCATTCGCTGGCACGATACGCGGCGCTTTGGACCGTAGAAAATCGTTTCGTGGACATTTAGAGCGACTCTTGTTCGCCGTCGTGCTCCGTAAGAAAACGAGCTTTTCCGTTGTTCGATCGTGAAACGACGATAAAGTGTCTTAATTTGCGATCAAAATATATTCCTCTTTCGTCGAAGACAGCAGCCTTCCGTCTTCAGAAAAAAAATCCGCACAATTACGTCGAGAAACTGGCGTTTGCATAAAACATGAGTCATGAAACTCATACAATTTCGCAGAGACTAAATATTAAAGCCCGACGAGAAGCTGGAATCTTGCCGAAGAACTGTACTTGGAAGGCGAGTTGTTAAAAAACCGTGAGACGAGCTCGAGGATCGGCGAGTAGGTCGAAGAATAAGGAAGACTTCGGCTCTGTGTTTTCTCGTGATTCGCCACTCGAAACCGAGGCAACAAAGTGAAAAAATCTCGACGCAGCGGAAATCGAGCGAGTCGGACGCCTTTTTCGCGCGATGCGAAAAGCGAGCGTCCACGCTCGAACACCCTCTTCTCTCCGATCCGCGTGATCGTCGGTGGCTAAAAAATTTCACGGCGCTTCGTTCTTCTCAGTTGGCGATTTTCGAAAGCATGTCGCTCTCCGGTGTCTCTTCTTTCAGCTCGGCGTCGTGTGGATTTCGTTTCCCTAACAGAAAGATCTTCCCTCGCGCTGGCTCGGTCCGGCTCGTCTCTCGAGCCACGATAATTTCACTCGTCCGGCCAAGCGATCGCGGTCAAAGCCGAGCTCGGAAGTCAAAGAAACGAGCTCTCGATAAAAAGAATCGATCGAGCCGGCCGACCATCGATTCGAACGACGCGAGACGTTTCTTCGCAGTATCTTCCTCCGACGCGACCGACCCTTTAGCCGGCAAAGATCCACGGACCTCCGACATCTGCCCCGGGTACTACGGCCAGCTGCGCGCTTTTCCGCGTTTAATGCCGGTCGTAAAGCATTTTACAGCGGCCTCGATGGGATCCGATTCTACTTCGCGCGAGCCCGTCGTCGCGCCGAGCTGTTTTTTCAGCCGACGCGTCCCCTTGCCGGGTAACGACACCAATTATACACCGTTTCGTCGATGGAAATATTGTTATCGGACCAAGTCGAAAGTTCCTCGTGGCTTCGAACGCGTCGATTCTGCGGCCGAAACTTTCTCGAGTGTCAGCGAGCTAATTAGGGGCATCAAGAACTTATCGACCATAATAGCGTACCCTGGAGAGTTAGTCGAAACATTGATGAACCAGCAGAAATACATATCGGTTACGCGCGAACGCAAGTTCCGTGTAGATGATTCCGGAATATTGGAGACGAAACTCGGCGAATCTCCCAGCTAAACCGGGGAAACGGTGCATCCGATATATTCGAGATAAAAAATGCATCGAAGCTGCTTCTCAAACGGGCTTCGCCCATTGTTTTTCTTAGAAACATTTTATAAGTTATTTCGTCGAAGAATCGCTTTCAAATTTTAACCGATTTCCGCTAGTTTAAATTATTTCGCTTACAATTGTAACAAAGCGACTATCGTCGATTTACACAGACGTCTCTTTTTTAATTTCATCCCATTGTCAACGGTTATCGAGCACCGCGCGACGCTTCTTCTTTCTCGCGCGTACTCGAATCCGTTGATTTCGCCTCGGTGCCGCGAGCTCGGTGTGGCTCGGACTGCATTACCGATGCCGGATTGGCATAATTTTGCGTTCATTATCTCGGCTAACTCGATTCCATTGGACGGCGATGAGCACTTGCTCGACCGGCGTCGTTCAGAGAGCCGTCTGACATGTCTCGGAGTCGTCGCGTCTGCTCCGCGCGAATTAAAACTGTTCCAGATTTCATTTAGCGAGCCCCGGCGCCGCGCGACGCGACGCGCGAATTAACCAGAACCTTGCCCGTAATCGCGTTACCGTTACTGGTCTACGAGGGGGCGAGATCCTCCTCCGTGTCGTTTATATTCGCATTGAAGCCGCGGCCCCGACGGGAAAGGGCCGTCGCCGGGACCGTTGATGAAAGCACGCGCTGATTCGCGGGAAAAGATTCGACGGACCGTGACGTTCGTTTCTGTTAGATGAACGGCGGATAATTGCCGACTACCAAGGAAACAAACGCGCCTCGCCTGTATACGTACTTACGGGCCAATTAGAAGCGAAGCGACATTTTTCGTTCGCGTCTGGCGAAATTACGGGTTCGATATTTCTTAATTTACGATTATCGAGATTTTAGAGAAACGTTCGTCGGGGACGGCGACCGATTTTTACAGGCAAAAGCGAATTTGGTCGGACATTTTGCTATTTGTTCGAAATAAAAGTTTCGAATAAAAAATATACTTAGGATTTTTGTCACTCGGTTATTTATGCGACGCGTTATAGACAGCTGGCGAATTTTATTCTCGAAACAGATTCGCCGGCAAATGATATACGATGTTAAAAATGCATGCAATAACTGTTATGTTTAATTCTTCCTCGAGAGCTTCGTACAATGGAAATTCTATGGTACGGCAAAATAACTCCGCGTTCGTCCTGGATCATCAATCATCCCAGGAGTTGGCCCGTTCGCCTCCTCGTTTTTTAAATAATGGTTTGGTATTTTTGGGATCGGGTCGAGGGATAAATAAACTATGTAACCTCGTACTCTGATCACAAGTTAGTTACGACGAGAGTGATAGTCGTTGACAGTAATTGACTCTAGATCGTGTCTGTTGTTGATTAACCTCCGATTTGATATTTTCTGTCAGCTTGTGTCTCTACGTGATTAAATTAAAACTAATTAAAAGAGACACCACTGTGTCCGGTGAATATTTGCGATTCAAACGTGTACGCCAATTTGTGTCTGAAGGCGAGGATAACATTGTTTTTCTGACTGTCTAGTCATTAACATTCACAAATAGGCATGTTTCATTAATATACAATAGAATACTAAAAAGTTCTAGTCGTAAAAACACCCTTCTTTTGTACGAAGTTATTACGAAAAAGCTGGACCATGCAAACAATTTATAATTTATATTCACTGTACTCGGTAATTTTAAACACGTGTTCGCAATTATATGCTCGGTCTAATCACGTTGATTTTTTGCAGGTGCCGGATACGTAGAGAACAAAAGGTTGATTCGATTCGTCAAAGAGCACACACCAGGTACGAATTAACACCTATTTCTATTCATTTACCCTTGGCAAGAATAAATATTAAATATTAGTAACGCGAGAATGCGAGATGTTTCATATTAGCAACATTTACCCGATTGGAATCGGTACCTCGAAATATTAGATTTTTGCAGGTTAGAAAGCCAATCGAATTACGGAAACGAGGACTCGAGTATCTTTGAACCAGTCCTCGGATTGAGCTATCCATGCGATTCACGGATTCCTTCCTTCCAGAACTAATATTTGAAAATGGCCAGCACCTCGAGGAGCGGAAGTATAGCGATAGTATACATAGATATACGCGTAGCATGGATTTCTAAGACATACGGGGGGAGCCCATATTCCCTGTCAGCCGAGAGCATGATCCGGACATTTATCGGTGTATACGACTGATAGAAACTTATAATCAAATCTCTCGCGACAATAATTAAATGAATTTAATCGTGTTTCAATTCGACACCGAAATTTCGCTGACGATATTTGTTTCGACTCGGTGCGCGAGTTTTATTTCGCTTCTGGAGATGAACGATCTTGTTCCTTATTAATCTCGGTTTATACTTCCATCTCGTAATACGCTGTTCCGTATCCTCTAAATTAATTATAATCTGCCTTGGAAGAACCGATTCGAGAGATAGATTAATTCTCATAATGGTCGCCCATTTCGCTCGTAGTACCCGCATGCGATGAATCTGTTTGGAATTAAGCGGCCGGCAGTTATGATCGTCGATATTATTTCTATCCGCGAAACGGATTGTAGAAAATAATCGAGGCAGAAACGAGCGAATAGACTCGCGTCAATCTTGATCAGCTTATATTAAAACAGTCACTATATTTACAAGTTGTACGCTGATAATGGTTTAATTTCTTCAACGGCAAATGGTCGCCTATAACTAGCATGATTTACTTGGACAACTACGACCAGTTTTCGAGTCCCATTCTATTCGCGCCGACTAGCCTGATTTATCTCGGCGTATCGCAAAGCTAGTACAGTAATGTCTCCCTAACTGACGCTCAGATTCTGCACAAAAATGGACAAATGGAGCATTGCAGCTCGTTTTAATAGTTGTTGACAATTCGTGACTATAAAAATGAACCGCAAGGATCGTCTCTCTTCTCCCTAAATTGTCCATTTTTATGGACACTCTGAGCGTCAATTAGAGAGACATTACCGTAGTGGACAGATTAACGCGGACAAATTGGGCCGAGGTTCTTAATCCGCGGTGCTTATATCGGATATCCATCGATCAACGGCGATAATTATGTTCGGACGACGATAATCGAGTATACGAAAATTGAAGTTCGTTCAATTAAACGATATCTTTCGCCGAAGAGAAACAAGCTCGTCGAGTCCTCGTCGAACAAACGACGGACAACGGGTGAAACGACGTTGATCCATCGATCGCGAAGAATAAAATTCATCTATCTAGCCAGCTATAATCCATACACGCGCGCGCGCGCAGGTATACTCGCACACGTGCGCGCAGACACCCATAGCAACACAATATAACAGCGAATACTCATAGTCCGGGGATGAACGGGGAATTACAGGGCGATTCGCGCGAGTTACACGATGTACGCTCGATTGAAAAATTAATGCCGGGATCGGAATTGAATTTTCACGCGATACAAGCAGCCCGATCAATCGTTTCTACGACCAACGTGCGCGGACGAGTAATTGGATGCCTCGATCCGGCCAGCATCTAGCTGCGTCCGGAAACGAAATATAGAGAGAAGATAGCAGCGGATATCACGAAGCAGCAGAGTACAATTTGGACGAGTCTGGATCCGTCGCAACGCTCGTAACGGGTCACGTATGACCGTGCCATTAAATTATATTACACGTTACGACGTTAAAACACAGCGGGACATTAAACGTTTACGAACCACGAACGCTATCGTTAATTCGCCGGAGTGTACCTGGAAGTTTATCTCGAACTTGAAATTAACTCGAACCAAATAGAAACTTAGTCCCGGATGCGTGCCATTTACCCGATGTTAAATAACCACCGGTCGCGAAACTCTGCCTCCCTTTGCTCGAACTTCTTCTTCAGCATCGTGCAGAATCGTCGTGTATATGCTTGTAATATAATGTAAACCACGGCTAGGCAAAATTTGGATGCATAAAGGCTAATGAATAACATTTTATTCGACGCTGTCGAATAAACGTACGATCGAATAGAAATTTATCCGAATAAGTTTTTAGTCGAATAAGAATTCGTTCGAATCAGATTTTATTCGAATAAGAATTTACGGTAAATTCTCCCTAATTGACGCTCAGCTTGGAAACGAAAATGCGACATTTGGAAAGAGGAAGCACGATTGTTCGAGCCTTTTGGGTTGTTTTTACAGTCGTTAACGATCGGTAACTATGAAAGCGAGCCGCATGATTCGACTAATCGTATCTCCTCTTCCCAAATTGTCCATTTTTGCAGACAATCTGAGCGTCAATTAGAGAGACATTACTGTACAGAGAATAATCGATTTGAACAGAAATCACAGGTTATAAAGTGTTTCTTTATTGCAATTAACGTTTTTTTTCAAACGTTGCCTCGTAATGTACGTTCAAGCAGATTAAGTATTTATTAAATGCTTATTAAATACTTAATCGTAACAATTCGAACAATGCCCGAGTCTAATCATATCGTCATTTATTTTGTAATTTTTCCGAGCGCTTCGCTTAATTAGCAAATTGTAGAAAGTTGCTTAGAGAATTTATAGAAGTTGCTATTATGAACAAATATGTTTGCCTCGTCGGCAATCTTATCAGAGGAATAAAACAGAGACCCGGTTCGGCTTGCGTTTGCTTCGGCACTTTGAATACCGGACAAAGCGTAACTGGTTGAACTTCTCATTAAGAAAATGCACGGTGAAATGTTTTATCGAGAAATTTCTTAATAAACTTCCCTTCAGGCATATACCGTAATACAATAATCGTACGAAGTTCGAATAAATCCGATCAGAGTGTTCGACGATACCACTTTTAATACGCTTCTTTATCCGATCTCAGAAATCAACGTATGCCATGATTGCCACAGAATATTGCGGATGATAAAATGAAACGTTACACGTTGCCCATGCATCGATGCATAAATTATCGACGACGCGATACCGAATTCAACGCGGTTCTATATCCGGAAAGATTTAACACGTGGCGCCACTGCATTCGCTACATAATTCACGATTCGAATCCGGTGGAATTGATAAAGTGACATTTTAAAAGAAGACCGAATTAATGCTGTAAGTGCGCTAAAAGATTGAAAAGTATCCCTGTTCCCTCCGTCGCGTTCGGCACGTTCCGCGTGCCAACGTGACCGAAATTTTTGGTTCATAGCCCGCAATTAACACGGTACAATTCGATCATCGAACGCGCGGTAGTCGATCAGAAATCAATCAAAGAGAGGACGCGCGCGTCACGTTGAACGACAACGGAGATAGAGTTAGGGCTGGTGACGCGGTTACAATTATGTCGATCCGATGGTAATTCATTGAAACTAGTTGGCTGCTGCGGCACGTTTACGAGAGTGTCAAATATCGAGAACATGGTCAAAGACAGGCGGTTGTCATGAATGGTGTGCTAATGACGATAATTCATCGCGTTCTGCGTCACGCCGCGCCGCCGTTCGAAAGCTTGAATATCGAGAGGGTAGCGGCGCGAGTCCGGCGCGCTTTGTCTCGACGAGCAGCGGAAAAGGAAGGAAGGAAGGAAGGAAGAGGAACCGGCGGAGACTGCGAGACGGCGTAAAGAATGGACAGGGGGAGAAAGAAGAGCGAGAGAGAGAGAGAGAGAGAGAAAAGGACAGAGGTGAACGGGCGCCATCGTGTCGGTCCAGCGTAACGAAATATCCAGGTCCCGAGGGCGAAATAAAAGCAAGATCGTTTCCTCGATGGGGTACGATCGGCGGGGGGTGGGGAGCAGCGCGGACAGAAAAGCCGGTATTTGGAAATCGATACTTCCGACGTCGTTTCGAGAGCGATGCCTTCGAGCCAACTTATTTCCTCCGTTGAGTGCGTCCGCGAAAATTCTCACCTATCCAGGCTCTTCTCATTATTGGCTATCTGCCGATAGCGAGGCGACGACGGCGCGGCGACAGCTTCTCCGAAAACTCGTTCGAGCATCGATCCGCGATCCTTTGTTTTCCCAATCACTGGCCGCCAGGCCGGAGAGGCCAGAGAGGCGAGAGACCGTCCCGCATCTTCCAGGAAACTCCTTCGGGATCTCTAAGACGCGGGCGCGCGCGCTCGCCTTCGTCCTTTGTCGCTTGGCTCCGTCGCTTCGTTATTTCTCTCGACAGGTGTTATTGGTTTCTCCCGGTGCGTTTGAAACGCGTCGTAAAGGGAGAAGCAAATTGCGCTGACTGCGCCGGCCCGGCACGAGGCGAAGCATGCTTCGAAATTTCCGTGTGTACGCGTTTCACGGTGGAACGAGGCGGAGTCCCGAGGACCGAGGAGAACCTGGCCAAGATAATACGGAAGTTGTTTCTATCGTGGAGAGACTCTCCGCGTTGCATATTTTATCCTTAAACCTTTACGGTATTTTACAGCCCTCTCGCTGAAAGTAAATCTAAGATATACTGCACTTATCTTGTTACGGTAGTCCGGTTACCTGCGAGCAACCCTCTCGCGGAAACTATTTTCATCGAGCGATCCGAGCATCGATCATCGCAATTAGTCGGACCTCGGCGTATTGTAATATTTTTTCAAGTAACATATCGTCTTAACGCTTTATCCACGGTTTTCTAACGGTTCTTTCAAAATCGAAGACCGACAGTTAAAAAATTCTGAAAAATTGGTTTAACGATTATTTAGTTACTATTTATATCGATACGATGTAACAAGTTCTTTTGAAATTATTGGAAATTTTCTGTAGGTTTCGTTGACTCTGCTATTATACTCGCCAGTTACGAATGCAATTCTAATGTTCGTGTTGAGTTAACGCTCAATATGTTATTTGATTTATAAGCCTAATTGAATTAGGCAAAGAAAATAGTGACT